TTAAGATAAAATCAAATACTAATCAAACTTGTATGAGTCATATAAGAGAGTGTAGCGGGTTGTTACGATAGTAAAGCCTGACTGGCTCAGAAATCTCTATGGCAGATCCTCCTACATCTAGCTAGACTCCCAGAACCAGCTAAGCTATAGCCCAGCTATGAAGGAAACAGACGTGTACACGGAGCACGTTTATTCAGGACGTATATTGCGGATAAAGTGTACACGCAGGGAGCCACTCATGATCGGGATGAGGGATTGGGTTAAACAGAGGTTAATGATTGGTCACTGTTTGTACGGTCATAAACAGAGGTTAATGATTGGTCACTGTTTGTACGGTCGCACCTCCCAGGTCGCCGGTTCGATCATGATCAGGATGGCGGATTAGGTCAAACAAACAGAGGCTAGTGTTAAACAAACAGAGGTTAATGATTGGTCACTGTTTGTATGTCGCTGCACACAGAGTTGTACGGCCGTACCTCCCAATCCTGGCGAGCAGACATGCAGACATACGATGGTGCACACAGCGATAACGTGTCCCACATGCAGACATGCAGGCATACGATGACGCACACAGCGATAACGTGTCCACAAGAGCACCTACTTGTATAAAGTACGAAGTTAGCCTAAGGTACGAATTTTAAACCATCCAAATTTACAATTGCGAAATGTTCACAGACTGACGTGAACTGCAACATCCTCATTGAGGATTCTAACTCCCCCCTGTATTTGTCATCATCTTCAAATGCATATGAACCGAAAGGCAAAAAAAAATTAAATGGTTCAAAATCCACCCACTCATTGAATTCGAAATCAGCGTACAAAATGTAGAGTCGCCTGCTATTATGAAATGTTGGAGGGTTGTGGGGGGGGGGAGGGTGGAATGACAAACACAACAACGATATCATCTTGTCCTATTCGTTGCCTCCTCATTGGTTATCTATAGAATTCCTCCCACTCCATCAGCTCAATTAGCCTTAAATGATCACTAGCCCATATGCACAAATACGGGTAATTAATGGAACTTTCCTAGAAAAGGCTATTAAAGGTGCTTATTGTTGTAACTGCGTTAAGAGAAACAACTCAGTCCGCCAGAGGGTATGCTTTGACTCAAGATGAGGGGGTGGTGGTAATTGATTCACGAGAAATCTTTACTAACATTGGCCATCAGTATTTAAAGTAATAATAATTTGAATGCTAGCATATCTTAAGAGATTGGAAAAATACCCTGATGTGGCATTACCTGTATAAATCTGTTTTCCAAACCAAATGTATAATAAAAACAAAAAAAATGATAACTAGTGTAAGGTGCTTACTCTTGAATGCTAAGAGCTAATAACCTCATTCGAGGAGGGAAATAAATGTTCTCTTAGAGATTGCAAACTTTTGACCTTTATTTACAACCTAGCTGTTAATGGCCTCTTAGACCCTTAGCCAATAGAATCTGAGCCGAATTAATTTCTAACCGTACCAATTAAGCACATTAAGGTCAACAGCTTGCATCAAAATGCTAACCAGAGGAATGATAACCCTACACGTCCACAGATGTTTTGATTGAACATTTCATGTCATAACTTATATTCCCCACCAAGGTTCCCATCAACTGCCAAATATCCAAAAGTCAGCATACACACGTAAACAAACTCAAAAAAACAATAATATTGTTCTAAAAAAAAAGATTGGAATTCAAGACAGGGGGTTAATAATAGATTGAAATGGTTAGAAGAGAAAATCACGATACGAAAAAAAACGGTCAACAGGAGAAGGAGGGAGGGGGGGGGGGAAGCAGTGGTATCAGACTAAATCTCTGCCTGTCGCACTACCTCCTCCTCCTCCTCCCAAAGGAATAGCTTTCATTTCAGTCCGCATGCAAAGGAATTCTCCCATCAGGGTCATTACTACAATCGACAAGCCAACAGTCAACCACCAAGCAACTGAGACAGGGAAAGAAGCGCTGTACAACGCGCAGAAGATAAAATGCCAAAAGTAGAGGGTACAGGTGAAATCAAGACAGAGCTTAGTCCGGCGAACAAGTCGCCAAAGACCCAGTGCACACAAGATCGCAGACAAAAGGAATACCGCAATCAGACATCGTCCCTGACCATCCCGAAATTGGAGTTCACTATCATCTAGCAAGATGCGAAGACTTGTGTGCCATTTGGAGATGGGACTTACGAGGGTGCACAAGGCCCCCAAAGTACCGTAGAATAGACACTGCATGAAAATGATTTGTCCAGTGAGGAGGTATGGGTCCCATTCACTACTGCGGAACCGCTGAGCCATCGTAGCCCACCTAAAATCGATAAGAATGAGAACTGAATAAGCACATTAAGAAAGTACATCCAGAGAGAAAGAGAACACAGATGTAGGTATTCTACTCCCATTTATTCACACAGTTCCGTCTAGAAAAGGGAAAAGAGGAAGGA